GAAAAGATGCGTCCAGCTATGTCACCTTGATAACACGACCAAGTTGCGAAAGCGAAGTTTGCCCACTTCTTTGTCGTTGAATCACTAACTTCTATAATTACTCTTCTATGCCTGCTAGACTGTAGTAATGAAGTACAAATTTCTGTACAAAATAAAATATTTATTTAGCCATGAGAGTGGCATCCACAGTGTGAAACCTTTGAATGTGCATTCCACGAAGCATAGTGGGTTGCTCAGACAAGATAAGGTATTTGAACGTACAAGCTTTTCATTATGAGTAAGCGTGTCACTCGGTGGAGGGGAGCTGGCCAAAAGAATATGAACTTAGACGAAGTTACATCAAAAAGTACCATGTTTAGGCTGGTACAAACAACTTTTCAAAGGTTCTCTTTCCTCCAATGGGACAAAAATATGTACTCCTTGTTTGTAAGTAGGCTTTTGAGACTATCAGTGCATCAGACATACGAGATGTATTCACCCTAGCTTGATTAAGGTGATGAAGGACTAATAGTTGCATTTTCCCACAATTATATGAGTAGTGGAGTTGACAAATCCCACATTTAAGTCGAGATGAATCACACCATTCCCTGTGTTGAGGATGAGTGAAAGTTTCGCTCTGCAAAGATAGTGCATTTCTGATTCTTTGAATCTAAAAAATGATTTTCCTTGACTCGAAAATGTAATACAGACAAGACATCTTCGAATGCCCAGGTGCAAGGCCATCTATCGGACAGCACAACACGTAGAACCTTAAGCAAGAGCAAAGCTACGTCTTAACACCGATAGGCAGAATTTGGAGGAGACAAAGAGGAGGCTATAACATCGCCTGTAAAAATGAGTTATTTATTCGGCTGCTTGAGCCATACAGAAACAACTTTCGAAGCCAACCGGAAAGCAGAAGAGGCTAGATTCAGTAAAGCATAATAAAAATTTTGGCGATAAATAGAGGTTCTCTTGTATCTGAAAAAGGAAGACAAAGCTTCGAGTTGGCAGGTCTCCAAGTGATATATATTCATATTTTACAGCCTAATACAACAAATTCATTAAACAATTTAGTTCTCATTTGGCTATGCTCATTCGGAAACAAGCTCCAATCAAAGCTTGAGAGTTAAAGAAGATAAAATATTTGTTCGACCACACTTTAGATGTCCCTATAAAAATGGCGTCATTGGTATGATAATGACAAATATAAGTGCGTTTCATTTGAACTCGGCAGAGAAAATTTTAATGTCTGGTTTTCAGCCCCGTTTGTCAACAAGTAGTTAAGTGTTATCGCAGAATGATTCCAATGTCCTTTAGTTTGAATTAAAGTAATCTCGCCTTAGAATGGTCATGATTGCGTATCACAGAATTGTCAACCTGAGTCTAATCGTTCTCTGCTCATCTTCCTCAGGAGGTTAGGAGCAAAAATGGCCTGTGGTATTGTGGGAAAAGCGGAGAATTTAAGAAGCAAAAAGGTAGAGGTGGTACAAAATTATGCATTTTTAATTTCTTTCCAAGTGAATGCAAACAAAATTAGACAAAAATCTGGCGAATTTTAAATAAAGCTTCGTAAAACACTAGCTTGATAGTTCAATTCTAAAATAAAACTTTATCAAGGTCTACAAAATTATAAAAAAAATTTTAAGGCATTCTTCATAGACGATATCAAGAAAATTAACCACAAATAGATAGCTTTAATCGCCGTATTGAAGCATCAACTTGAAAGTATAAGAAATTAACGAAAAAGATAGAAAAAGAGAAAGAAAGGGTGAAAGGAAAGATGGAACGAATGAACAGAAGATATTCAAAAAAGAAAATTCACAACTGTCATCGGTGGGCGTGCGAAAGACATAAGTAAATAAATCAGCAAAGTCACAGTATGATGTATGTTACGAGGTGATGTGAGTTGTCATGAGTATGTAGCCGAAGTCATATGAGTATAGTGATAGACATACAAGTTATTGGTAGATTAATAAAGCAGTTTAGATAAGGGTCTGGAAGCAATAAGTAATGACATCTAAAGTGAGAAGAGCATGACAAACGTTGATACCCCTCAAGGCGATGCCAGTTATGCTTTTAATGATAGAGTAGAGTATGCGGTTGTTGAGAGAACATTTGCAACTATATGGTCGGCTTTAGTTGAAGATAGTATCAGTAATTATAGGAAATAATAACCGCAAACTCATAGACAGAGCATGTTGAATACTTTTGAGTCTACATCTTGACCGTTTATATAATAAAAATAAGTACTTCTGGTAGATGAATCGTGATGGTATAGCGAAAAGAAAAAAATAAAATTGGTGACTATGATAGGAAAAGATAAGAATTTGATTAGACAAACAAAAGAGGGAGGGCGATGGGGGCTGTACAAGATGTTGTAAGCGGTTGGGCTACACTAAACGGCCAAGGATTAACTGTACAGAATGCTCAAAGTAGAATGCAGCAAGCAGAAAGTCACCAGGGCAATAGATAATTGTGTAAGACGAAAATAAGCCTGAATGAGATGAGACAGCAAAGCCTGGTTGCTGGGATATCTATGCATTTATAGCCTGATTGAAGGTATACCGACCTGTTAGCCTTCGGTCGAGCTGTCAGTGGCCTGAAGGCCAGAATCCTCGATGATGGCCAGAGGGGGAACTGAGGTGGGGGCTCTAGGCGGTGTCGGAATCCGAGTCTGGTAGGCAGGAGCTTGAGGAAAGTGGTGCTGCTGTTGCTGGCGATAGCTTAAATTAGGTGACTTTCCTAATCTGGCAGTCCTTGGGCTGGAAATCACGTTGCTACGGCCAACTATCGGGCCCGACAACGGTGGAGACAGAGATGCTGATGCCGCTTCTGTTTTGCAGAGAGAAGAATGATGCTCTGTCGCGAAAAGTCCTTGCGAGTTGTGATGGAGGAGTGGGGCATGCGTGCTGTTGAGCGAAAGCGACAAAGATGACGAAGCCTGATCACCATCATCTGCGCCAACTCCCGCCTCCAGGTAGCCCACGGGCTCCCAGGTCACGAAGACAGGAGGACAAAGTTCACCGCGAGGGTTGAAAACTGGCGTTGTTTGATGACTCGGTTGACCCCAAGCAGGCCGAGTCATGCGAGTAGGGCCGGATCGGTTGGCAAGCCTCCCGGCGCTAGAAAGTAGGGCAGCACGGCGCGCGGAAGTGTCGAAAAAGACTCTCCCATTTTGTCGGAGTTTGGGGCTTATTGGAATTGGACTTGTCGTATTTTCGGTGGACCAGACGTCTTGGATGTGGGAATCGGTGCATTGCTCAATTCGGCTGGACAGCGCAAAGTCGGTGCGGTGGCCAGCCAGACATAAGGATGACTGTCAATGGAGAAGAGGAGTAAAAGTAGCAATGGAATGAGAGTTAAAGCATAAAAATTGAAACTTACCTATTTTAGTACATTTCATTCAATTACACATAAGACTAATTCATAAATATACGTTTTTGAAATGAAGTAAATTTGTCAAGTTGGATTTAGGTAAGCAGCATAAGTACACATGAAATTAAATAATAATTAAATAGATAATAATATTAATGAGAATGTTGAAAAATATCCTGGATAAGCTAAGAGTAAAAGTACTATGTTGCAGGAATATTAGAAATACTTAGATTTGATAGATGCAGTGTAGAAATAGATTCAAAAATTGTTGGATGGGTGATCTGTCGTATCAGAATGTATATGAATGAGGTTTTGGTAGTTCAGTGAAGCTTGCGACTTCCGAAGGAGGTGCAGTGAAGACGCCGAATTGCTGGTTCCCAGGCTAGCCCTACCCATTTTTTTGTGAGAAAATTCAACTACCTGTCCTTCATCACCCTAAACGAAATAGGGCGAATGCATCAACTTACGAATTTCCTCATCATACACTCCCATACGAAAGTAAATTCTTTACAACAATATTATCTGATGAGATTAATTAAAACTCGAGTTGTCTTCGTATAAAGCAATATAAACACATGAGTCCTAAACCAAGAAGGTGAAGAATGAGGGATACTCGCCTGGTCAGGTATTTTTCTTGATGAGTTTCCTACGGAAAATGGCTTCTGTCTCATCCCTTTCATGGGACTATGCCCACCGGCAAGGTTGGCTAGCATACAGGCGACGCTCTTTTGCTTCTTCGCACCGGCCAAGTTTGTTTCGAAGTGGCCCGAGGCTATTGCGCCATTTGTCAGAGTCGATGCCTTGGCTCGGTGCAGAAATACCAGAGCCTCGTTCACCCGTTTGTTCGGCACCGACTGTTGTTCTAGCACTTTGGTCGACTCCTCCACGACTGCCTCCTCACTGGACAAGGGTACCGAGGTCTTTTGACGAAGGATCAACCGGTTGCTGGGAGAGCTCAGGCTACGCTGCGGGGCAACGCTATTCGAATTGCCCTCACTGATCCGACCGGCAATGAGAACAGGAGGCAAAAAGAGAAGGATAAAGCGAAAAAAATGATAATTAGAAATAATTCAATCAAATATATAAGAGCCTACACCGCCAAAACAATTATGTGAGATAAAATAACCAGCAAAATGGTGTTCTGCAGTTGAATTCATCGCGCCTTAGGCTCTAGGGCTTCAACCTGCGGATTCAAGTGAAGTAGTGAGCAAGAATGTATTGTATATTGACGCAAGACCACGATATAAAGCTTGACCATGTACCGGCAAGAGGAAATAGACATACAATTAGCAATGAGCTCAAGTGAGGCGCAAATATCAAAAGTGGAGTGTCGAGAGAGTGGATCCGCCAGTGATTCGGGCCAGCGAAAAGGTTAGTAATTGACCAGGCCGAGTCAATTTTAAAACAATTTACAAGTCCTGAAAGTGACTTTGTGCAGAGAACAGTCAAAACTCCAAAGCAGAAACGCGAATTATTGCCATAAAACTAGTTCACTATTTTGGTATTTGAGTAGAATTTTGAGACTACCAGTAAATCAGTAATATGAGAGGTATTCACCATATTTCGTTTAAGGTGATGAAGAAGACTGGTAGTGGAATTTTCCCACAATCATATGAATACAGCTGGCGTTTCCATTGTCTTGCTTTCCCAAAAGTTGTTCTCATCCCGGCTGGAGTGGATTGCAGTTTCGACCTCACATCAATCTTATCAACATCCCCAGCAGGAGTCG